ATTTTTCACAACCATTTTTGCTAGCGAAATTTCATGATTTTTCGCGTGCTTCAATTTTCGTTTCGCTTCGATCTGTATACTAGCGAAAACAACAAATCAAGAAGACTGGCAACTTTGCCAGAATCCAAGCGACAGATACAGTAGCGCTGCACTTGAGTGAATGTGGAAGCAACGCATAGAAAAATAAGCAAATACACAAACCTTTCTTCTGAGGATGTAATCTTTGCTATCAAATTCGTTCGAAGCAGTTACCTTTGAGCGGCAGATGACGCGATTGTACCTGTCTCATAGCGTTTGTATGAGAAAATGGAAGAGTTGCCAGTCTTCTTGATTTGTTGTCTTCGATACTAGGCTTAACGGAGCCTTGTGCGACCCTATCCGGGTAGTCGCTGGTGTGAGGCAAGGATGCATATTATTACCACTTCTGTTCCTCATCGTAATCGACGATATCATGGCAGGCAACGATGCCATGTATCCTGATTTTCGTACACGAAGAAACATTTCGACAGTGAGCATGCATAAGGGCCTATACGCGATGATCGATTCTCTTCATCGATTTTCTCTTTGCATTGCTACAGCTAAGCGCAACAATTTTGTAGAATTTATTCAATGTAGAGTTGTAACAGGTTGCAGTGGCTATCAAAAGCAACAGCAAACGCACCGACAAACGTTAAATCTAGCGAGTTATTAACAAAAGAGAAAATCGATGAAGAGAATCGATCATCGCGTATACGCCCTTATGAATGCTCACTGTCGATTTTTATTTTGATACCGTACACGGTAACCGCAAAATACCCAACAATGACTACAAAAGACTCAATATTTACCCTAATAAAATTGTTATGGTTATTTTGCTTAACGACGTGTTTCGGGAATCATCCAAACCATTTGTGGAATAGTTCCATTTGGGTTATCGTTCGCCTATGATTATTTTTTATTATGGTTTTCGAGGGAAACTGGGACTACTCATTAAATGAGTAAACATTTTACCCATTTATGAGTATTTGTTACTCATAAATCAATACTTACTACTCATTTTAGTAGTTGTAATTACTCATAAATGGGTAAAATTTGACTCGGTTTAATGGGTAGTCCCAGTTTCCTTCGAAAATGCTCACTTTGTAGTCAATATTGGGCAAAATAACCGTGGGGTTACCGTGTAAGGTTCTGGAACAAGTTTAGCTCAATAAATATTGAATTTTTGGAACTATTTTTTTAAGGAACAAACTTGTTACAGGTTCCATATAGCTTGGAAGTGGTCTTTTAACTAAACTATGTGTCAGAGCATTAACATTATTTAGAATTTTACGAAACAATTTTTTTTCCAATACCTATCAATAAAATAGAGGATTTTCGTCAAATCTCAAACGATTTTTAAATAAATTGCCTACATTTAGGCGTAACTGTGTATTTTAAGAAACATTTTCTGGCAGTTTAGCTTAAAATACACTTCGCCTACGGATTCTAACATCTGATCCGGATTCAGGAAACCCAAATTCATAAAGCACATTTATTATAAATTCATTGGGATGCTATTTGAAGGGTTAATTAATTTCACGCCATATAGACATTTTCAAATTTAATTAAAAATTGACCTTCCAATAATTATCCATTATGACAAGTTAGCATGTAGAGCGGCTAAGTCCACATAGCTGCCGGCTTTTTTTGTACAAATTTATTTCGGTATTAACGTTAAACAGTGATCAATTTGCCTCCAGTTTACGATACGTTGAGTAAATAAAAGCAAGATTGATGAAGATTTTGAAAATTCCCTGTTGAGCGATGCGAGTAGATGGGAGGAATGAGAGAAGATTTTCCGTAGACTGATTCGTTGGGTGAAATATTCAAGAATCTTAGGATTGAGATTTACAATGTGGCCAAGGTTGCTTGTCAGTTTTTTTCGTCACTGGGTATTTCTTGTAAAGATTCATGTACCAAAATGTGTATGTGTTTATTATTCAGTTCCAACCTGGATCGGGTATCAAGATCGGCTCTGCATGTTTTCTGACAAGCGTCAATTTGATCGTTTGGTTTTAAAACCTTCCTCAGGTTGAGGTTCGCACTGACAAAAAGTTCGGTTTCGCACTGCATACAGCCTTTTACATTCCATAAGACAAACCACATAGGTCCTACACTGAAAAAAGTTTTCACTTAGTTTCTATTAGGAACGCACTTAGTATTTTTTTTTTCAAAAAACAAAAACAATGGCTTTTACCTGAATATCACATAGCATTAGAAATTCTATATGAGAAATCATATAGATTTCATTGGACACATAACATTCATGTGATTTAGTGGTGCAATTTCCAATTATGGGATCACATGAAAGTTATGTGAAATTCACATGGATATTTTCCACTGGTTATGTGTTTTATTTTATGAGTGTATAAGAATACATAAAAAGTACACACTAAGATTATTTTACAGATTTCAGTAAAATTTTACCGAAATCTCAACAGCTGAACGTTCGGTAAACAATTTTACAGTTTTCCTGTAATTATTTACAGATATCTGTGAAAAATTCACAGATATTTGTGAAAAATTACAGGAAATCTGCAAAACTGTTTACCAAACGTTCAGCTGTTGAGATTTCGGTAAAATTTTACAGATTTCTGTAAAAATTCTAAGTGTGTATGTGTGACCGCTTATACATTTAATTTGACACATGATCTTCATTAACTTTTTGCAAGGCGTCTGCTTATTAGTTGACTTATACATTTTATGAATAATCAGCAATATAAATTTGCCAAAAGGTATAAGGAGATTTCTATCCGTGTATAGAGTTCTCCAGATGCACAAAAGTGTGCATGAGACCGCTTGCTACCTTTTTAAGTTGCGATATCGCGATACCTTTCTCCTTCTTCTTCTTCTTCATTTTTATATATGGATGTTGGATTTTAGGTTTCGTGAGATTGCGCTTGGAGGTCTCTATTAGTTACGCTACAATCATTGACTTCTTGCCGCAAGATCTCACTAATACAGCCTTGCTAGTGTAGCCGTGTATAGAGGTTGCTGACGTTTATCGTACGCACACTACGTCACGTAAACGTATACGCAAAATATTTTCCAAAGATTTGAATATTTCTAAATCATCGATGCAGAATATTGTCAAGCCTGATTTGAAACTCAAATCGTACAAAAAAAAAAAAAAAAAAAAAAAAACAGCGAGTACATGGATTAATGAAGAAACTGAAGAAGGCTAGAGTGATTCGAAGTAAGGAGCTATTGCAACGATACGCTGATTGTGAATTTTGGTTTTTCCTATGAAAAAATGTTTCTGTTGCAAGATACTCACAACCAACAGAATGACCGAATATATGCAGCAAAGCTTGTTGATATTCCCAAAGATCAGTTAGCTGTGTAACGGATCCAAAGTGTGTCGAGAGTGATGGTTTGGGTGGAATTTGACGAAATGTCAAGCTGCTACTGCTTTTCATCGAATCGGGGGTGTTTTGAACATGTTTTGAAGAATCATTTGTTGCTCCATGCTTAGAAATTAATTTCAGATAGAAACTACTGCTTTCAACAGGATTCTACCTCATCTCATCAATCAAAAGCAATACAGAAGTGGTGTCGCCAGAATTAACCCCATTTCATATCATCACAAGAATGGCTTGCTTCATCGCCGAATCTCAATCCCTATCTCTCTATCCCCATACATGCGTAGTAAAATCGGATGCACAAAAGGTCACACTCTGGAATCATTCAAGAAACTGTTGATCGATATTTGGGGCCAGTATGCCTCAAGAAACCGTGCGTGCCAGTTGCGATTCGTTTTACAAACGATGTAAATTTCAAAACAAACATATGTTGTTTTGATTTTATGAACATTTATTTCACTGACAAGCAACCTTGGACATCCTCCTTAAGTCAGACTTTAAAAGTGCTGAAAACGAAACATACATGCCAGTAACTAAAATAAAACCTTTTCAAGTCGAATGCAGCTGGTAATTAAGGCAAAGGGTTGGGAAACATCCCAACTTGATTAAGCTAAGCCTAATTGAAGACTGATTTTTTTCTGATCTGACATGTAGGGAACAACAGTCCAAAATGCCCGAAGCGATTTTTCACAGCATTCTCGTGCTGAATTAATAAATTTGACAAACCACAATGCTAGTTTTAATCTTAAACAAGCATTTCGGCACGAACAATCCCACAACTAAGAGTGGAATACCTATGAAAAACCACATCGGGCCTTTTTTCCCGTGGTGCATTTGTTCCCTGTTCAAACCTATACTGATTTCAAAAATTCATGCGAATCAACTACTCCACCTGTACACGCGCTGGTTTATTACAGATCTCACATATCTTTTAAACAAAACTGTATGAAATTTCCCGGTTGGGCCCGTACATCGTAAACAAAGAAACCATGGTAATTATAAACAATTTGAAAACGCTCACATGGGACATTCTAGCCATTTGCCACCGGACAGCATTGTTTAACTCAACGATACACGTGAGAGATTGGCGAGAATTGTCAGAGAGCATATTGCCCTCCTACTGGAAAGGGTGAGAGCGAGCTTTCGATTTTCCCCACCTTTTCCAGCAAGGATTTCCCAGCACCACTACAGGCACAAGCAAGCGAGGATGAATGGAAAGTGAAAAATAACGAACCGTCGGACAGCAGAGCAGTATTATAGCAGAGGGGGTTCACTTTGCGATGATGACTGTGTGTTTTATTTTTCTTGACGTTATTCATGATGATGGGATTGAGGAGGTGAAGCAATAACAGAGTTTGTACTAGGAACGGATTGGGTGAATAACGATTCCGTAGGAGAGGTTTGGGGGTGGGGGCTGGTTGAGACTTTTGTGATGTATTAATGAATGCGATTTATTTTCCAGAAAATGTCGTCCGAAGAATGGTAATTTTAGCTTTCGTTTGCGTTTGTTTGCTCCATTCTATTTCTGGGAACTGGAAGCTTTATCTAGCGCTGATGAATGAACTGGTTTGAATGGCTGTAAAACGCTAAGTGGCAAGCAAACTATACTTCTCGACTTACATTTTGTGTGTTTTGCTGTGTAGGTAACAAGGGCAGGCGTGTGAAAATCCAAAATCCTTTCTCGGGTTTCGTTCAGGAAATTTTCGCTAGCTGCTTCTCCTCCCTCCTCTGCTCTGCGTGCACCGCCTTGCTCTACTGGTAATCCTAATGTGTCGGCTGAAAATCCAATTTTTCACTTTAGCAATAGTGGGTAACTTTTTTTTCTCTATCACAATATAGATTAAATTTGACTATTTTCGCTTGAGCGCTTGCACACTTCGTATTGCTTCTTTTCCTCTGTGCTCCGTGTACTTTGAAATAATGAGCTTTTTTCTTTTTTCCTCACGTCACATGCACCACTCACTCTTATGGGAGCACCAATTTTCACACCTACGGGGCACAGTGACGACTGAATTTTCCTACAAATTTCCAACCTAATTCCGAGCTCTGAATGGTGCAAATTCGCCTTGGAACGATTTTTTCTCCAGATTTTTCACCGCTGGCACCATTCGATACGGGATTACCCAACTGCTGAAAACGCATTTCCACAGCGTTTTCAGCAGCAGGATCGAAAATCGAAACCCGACCGAAAATCCTTCCACCAGTCTTCCAGAGGTATCCGATTTTCCTGCGAATTTCCAATCAAATCAATCCACCACACTGCAATTTCTTACTTTTTTGCTCGTTTCTCGGCCGAATTTTCCAATCAATGGATCCAACTGGGCAAGAAATGGGAAAACTTTTCTTCTTGCTTCTTCTTCTGCCGCTGGCTTTTCCCTGTTCCTGCTACTATTCTTCTTCAGCGACGTTCCGGATCGAAAGTGGTACGTGTCCGACTGCCAGCTTGGTCAACGATCGTTTGAGAAAAGGGACACGATATGGTCCGTTTTCTTGCACGGCACACTTCCAGAAGCGCAGCGAAAGCTCTTCCAGTGTGCGCACCACCCCTCTCGCTGGCTGGAAAAGAGCAGTGGAAAACTTTTCCGCGAGCGAGCATCTGACAGTTCCGTACAAACACCCATCGTATCGTAGGGAGTGGAGAGGGTCTAGTAGGGACTGGTTTTAGGGAGGAACAGATGGGACATGCTGGGGAACCGTTTTCCACGTGTATTGCGCACATATTGTGCAACGCGTTGGAAAACTGGTACCCATAAGATGGGGAAATGGCAACGGCATGAATTGGGGCTCACACACAGTTGATGGGCTGGAAAATGGTACAAAGGCGATGAATCAGTTGTCTTTGGAAAGCTTGAAAAGAACGACGGGGGGATGGAACATTTGTTCGATAAAGCTTCGCTTATTGGCTGGTTCAAGTCCGGGGTTTAACAGGTCAATTATTTTGAATGGGTGAAAAATATGTTGAACTAAAGCGCTGTACTCAGATATTTTCTTATTCAACGTTTCAAAGTGTAAACCAGGGTGCCTTCCATTCATTTTGACTAAAAAAATGTTTTATGAAATTATAGAATAATAGGATATCATGATGATATTTTGTATGTGTAAGTAATAAGAAAAGATTGTAAAGTTTGTGTTTCACACATCAAACCTGCAAATTTAGCTTTTACAGAGTCACAATGAGCGTTTTTCTGATCGCCTCTTCGCGAAGAGTGAAGAGCGAAGAGTGGGTGTGATAAATTACAAAATCGCTTATTGCGACTCTCATGTAGCAAAATTGGCAGGTATTATGTGTCAAACACAAACTTAACAATCTTTTCTTGTTGTTTACATAATCAAAATATTTTCATTATGTCTTATTATTCCGTAATTTCTTAAAACATTTTTTTAGTCAAAATGAATGGAAGGCAACCTGGTGTAAACTAGAGTCGGTGTATAATGAGTCACGCCAAGAGAAAAACAGTTGAACTCGCATCACGGTTTTCGAAACATTCCCTTTCTTTTCACTTGGCAACAGAGGACTTTTACATCAACTTTAAATGACTTCTAGCGAGAAAAAAAATAGCGGCTGTAGTAAACCATTATATCAGTGACTTTGTCAAATTATCTTAACAAAAAATAGTAGCAATTCTCATTACTGATCATTACCAAACGTATCCCATGACAATTTAATGCTCACTGCGTGTTGATGATCATTTCTTCGATTATATTTTATATTTTATTACAATACCTTTCGTGGACCTTTCATAGCACCGTAATGTTTGTTTACTTTGCACGATAGGTAGCCGGTTTGACAGTTCAATAGGTAGACTTGGCTTCACTCTTGGCGTGACTCATTATACACCGACTCTAGTGTAAACCAAGTTTTTTTCTGAACTATCGATGCAGGTATATTTGACTGAAACGCCAAATATGCATCATGTCACGTTGAGCACCATTGGAAGGTGCAATCTCTATCCTCGGGCGTGCGCAGCCTTGTCAAAACGTGTTCATATTAGAAAAAACTGTTTCCTGTCTTTTTCCACTCAACAAATATCAAGTGACATGTTTATTCGTTATTTTTTTAATTTCTTCAAAAAAAGGTTTTCCTTATTCGAAACCAAAACAAACTATTTTGTCCAACATTGATTTTTAGGAATCACACGAGGAACCACATCTACTTGGGCAAAGAGGGCAAAGCCCACACAAGTGGGCGCAGAATCTCATCATTTTGCCGCGTACACTCTTGGATGACAAACTATGAGCATGAGCATTATTTCTCGCGTAACATTTGAAAAGGGCCTATGTCCAAAATGTAAACAATTCAGAAAATGAATTGTAAATTTTTCCGCCAGTATTTAATTCCTATATAAATAAATTGAAGTATTTTAGGCATTTATATTGTTCACAATAACAATAGTAACTATATCTCAGTACACAACATCCAAAACATGCGAAACGTTTTCAAAAATACATGAAAATCGATAAAAATTTAATATCACAGTAATAAGCCTTTTTGTGAATCTTTAAATGGTTAGGCCCTTTTTGTTAAGCCGTTGTGCTTGTCATCATAAATTGTAGGCCCTTTGCTAAGCCTTTTCTTAACGTCAAATAAATCATCGGCCCTGCCTCAAGCAGTAGGGCCTAGCTTTGATTTGAAATTTTTCAATCATCGGCCCTTCTACGTCGCTAGGCTTATGAATGGAACCTCATCGAACGAAAAAAAAAATGTATGTTAGGCCCGAGGTTAGGCCGTTTTAGCATGAATGATTGGGAAAATTTCGTGGATCGGCCGTTTTTAAAATCAAGTTATTTTATCAAGTTTTATCGATAATGCGGAACATTCCTATACGACTGGTAGCTAATTACCAATGCTACAGAATGGTATCAAAAGTCGGTTTGTTTACATTTTGATCATAGGCCCTATTCAAATGTTACGCGAGATTTGTATAATAAATTATAAGCACATCCATGGTCACACTTGTATAGTTGGTGTATAGTGCTCATAATTATTATACAAATAATACTCAAGCTCATAGTACCCTCCCCTTGGCTAGTTTTTTAACCTGGACGTTGGTGGGCGGGCCTAATCTTATGCTTCATAGTGGAGCGTTGGAGACGGTTGGTTTAGGTCCGGCATCGTTGGCTCATGCCGTGGCAAAATAGCATCATGAGCATGCAATGAAAATTACTGAGCTTCCCCTCTCTGATGAACCATTGCATGAGAGAACCAAAGTTCTAGCCTGAAGTGATAGTATCACACTTGTTACTCCTTTGTTTGAGAGCCGCGTTGTAGTACGCTTACGTATAGGCACTGATGTTGGGTGCGATACTGGCGGGTTTTTCCGCAAATCACTCTTATTTTATTTATTTTTACGCAGATAGATTTATTTGGGTTTGCAAGGGAAAATACTATTGAAATATTTCAGAAAGTGCCTAAGTGCTCCTTCTACTTGCGTGACAAGCTTTCGTTGTTGTTTTCATTGAGATGTTACTCAGGGAACAATGTTAAACACCATTTTTGTACATGGTATTGTAACTAATCTTATATGTGCTTCATTTTGATTTGGGATAAGTGTTTGAACTATGGCTCGGGATTTCCACTGTGGCGTGCTTTAATTGTGACATAACCATACGTATTTTTGTGGTGCGACATAGTGGAAACATGTGAGCGTAGTTGAAGCATATGCCCTATGTAATTTAAAAATCAGCTAGGAAACTAACTTCAAAGTGAAGCATTTTAGTCACTTGAAGGTGGGACCTGGGATGAACTAATATATATTATATATAGGTCAAAGTCAAAAACAACTTGAAACACGTTAAATTTTAGATTACATTCACAAGTGCAGGTACTTCCTTAAGCATGGTAGGTAGATTAGAGATTTCAATTATTTATAAAATTAGACTAGAGATATCATAATCATCAAACGAACTTAAATAAGAAAATTTAGACAGCCTAGTAGCATTAAGTGGATTAACAGAAGAGTTAGGATGCGGAGGGTCCGCTTATGGAGGCAACTAGCCTTTAAAGCAACTGGCAACTAGCCTTTTAATGTATTGTCTGTTTAATTTGATTATTGCTTTAAAATATCAATTTGGTATATATGTGAAAGGATGACCCAGACAACCAGATACAGCTTAAGTCAAAATCGCATATAAGAATAACATACCTCGCATTATGTTTAAGTTAAATCGTATAGAATGCAAATTTCCGACTTATATGCGATGAATCATCTTTCTGTCGTACTGTATCACAAATTAAATCGGAATACATCGTAAGACTTTTCAGAATGAATATGTTATTACAGATTAAATCGTTTATGATGTTAAATCAACTCGTTTAAAATTAAATTAAAATATGCACGTATATGGCCTCCACTTTTGTACGTATAAGGCATATCTTTGCATTCTATACGAGTTGTTTGTTTGCATATATGTTTGTACACAGTTGTCTGTGTACAGACATAACACATTGAATATTTCCCACTGTAAAACATCGTCGCTAAAACATTACCGCCATCTGTTGAGTACGCTGTGGTGGGTAGTACGCTGAACAGATGGCGGTAGTGTGAAAACGTCAAACTCAAGGGAAATGACTATGCGCGCCACAGGTGGCGGTGCTACCAACTACGATACTTTTAAATTTACCGTTAAATGCTTGTTCGATGAACAACTTGCGAGTGTTATGTCTGTTTGTCTGTGGTTTGTATATCACGAAAACAACTTTGAATATACGTGCATTCTGGTTGTCTGGGGAATCAGTGGGAGATCGATTTTCGGTTTCTTTACATTTAGCATCACAAATCACTATGAGTCATTTCCTCAAAACCCCCCAATAACTGGCCTCTTCAATCCCTTCCTTTTCCCATGGCGTTCAAGTGGTCCGCATAGACTATTCAGCCATTACCCGTCGTTTATCCTCGGCTTTGGATTGACTTGCACTCCCATTGCCCCACCAAACGCTGCAAAATGAAAATGAAATGAAAATGAAATAATACTCAAGCTCATAGTAGGTCATACAAGTGTATCCGCGGCATTTCAGTACCAAGGCTAAAAATCTCCCTAATAAAGACTTAAGCTGGGCTTAGACTAGGCAAGTCAAATGATCAACTCAGTTGAATTCAATTGGCTTGAAAAGTTGAGCCTGGTTCAACTTTTTTCAATTCAAGTGAGTTAATCAAGTCAGTTGAATGACATGGTTTACACGTTCAATTTGCGTTCAAGTCAGTTGAATTCAACTGACTTGATCAATTAACCACTTCATTCGAGCAGTTAAAATGACTCGAACTTTAATAATATATAATATAAAACATTATGTTGAGATTTTTTCTTCTAGAACTACGAGAAAAGTAGCCAACATTTCCGGAGTGATTTGAGATTTGGGCGTAATTACATTTGTAAAAAAACACGTCAATCGACGATTTCTCACGAATAAAAGCTCAATCTCCTACACAAACTATACCAAATGACAGAGAAATCAATCCTATACCAGGTAGTGTTAT